ATCTTCAAGCGCCTCACGTTTGGTATCAAGAAAACACCGAGACAAATAGCTGCTGTAAGTCTTGGCTTCATTTCTGGTTTTCGCCCAATATCGAAGTGTTCTGCTATTGATTTTCAGGAACATGAAGACAATGATGGCCATGCTTCTCTACGATTACGAGTTCTTCCTGAGAATATAAAAGAGGAGCTTAGAAATTTGCGCAAAAGACAGAGTGGGGAGCAAATTCTGGTTGAAACCAAAGAAGACGATCAAGTCGAGGAAGGTGAGGCGACAATTGTGCACGGGTACAGTTGGGGGTAGGGGCATCTTGGCGCAAACACTCACGGTTTACAAAACCTGCTGAGCATTTCCTTTGTATACTCTCTCTCAGTCCACTTTCTGCACGAGCGAAATGGTCCATATGCTCTCAGGAGCTTACTCCCATAGCAAAAATTTGGTTACTCTTGCCAAGATGAACTTCTGCGACGCATGCCTATCCCATACTGCAATTCTTTGTTTTTACTACCAGATTAGTCCCCCGTCAACCGCCGGGACCTTCCTTTCCTGCGCAAGCTTTCTATCCTCCGCTATGGTCCCTTCCTCCTGTGACACCAACACCTCCTGGAAGTGACGCGTATGCAACACAATGGTGTTTCATACAGTAGAAGGGACACAATCATGATATGACGGTAGATTTTTCGCTTCCCTTCCTCATCCTCCTTCCTCTCTCCACTGCCCTCCAGCTGCCACTGCAGCACCATGTGGAATGAACGGAAGTGTGCTAAGCAGGTGTTTATATAGCCCTAAGAGTGTTATCACAACTATCCTGCTACAAAACATTGATATCTCAAATCCTGTAAGCTACCCGATTTGTTAGCGGTTTGTTTATCCCATGAGCTTCCTTCTCACTCACTTCATTTTGCGGACGGACACACATACATACATACACACACACACACACACACACACACACATACAGATACACAAACCGACACACAAAGTTAGCGCTTTATATAATAGAAGGATTGCATCAATGCCATTACTGCTTCATCATCAAAGGTCCGCCCCCCCCCGCAAAAGAACAAGCAATCATAATAACCTGATTGTAATCCAAAACTGTATTATAACTTCAGTCCGGTACCATTCGTACCTAGTAAGTAGCTGCCCTCACCCCCCACCCCCTAGACTGCCTTCACACCCCCTGGCTCACGGGGTCCCGTACATCGAGAAACCTGTGCGCCAGGGGGAGTGTAGGCAGTCTAGGGGGTGGGGGGTGAGGGCAGCTACTTACTAGGTACGAATGGTACCGGACTGAAGTTATAATACAGTATAAAATTTATAATGGATAATATGAGAGTAGAAAATCGTATATTGGCAGGTTTCAAGCTGTTTCTTCGATGCATGCTGTTCCAAAAAGACATCAAGACATCTTCCCAAAAGGCTTCCGGTAGTTCCAGACGAATGGCCAAGCCTACGTGCTGAGATACAGAAGCAGATCGCTGAAAAGGTGATTTGATTGTACGCTTCTAATATTTTGTGTAAGCTAACGCTTTCAAAAGCTGCCCTTCAGATTCATCAGCTTCGACGATCAAATCGAATATACACATGGGGTGAAGACATTTCTGATCCCTTTCATAGACTTCAAAGACCTGAATTTGCCGTCTGTATTAATGTCTTCCTTAGATGAGTTCGCATCGGAGAGCCCACTCCAATTCAGATGCAGGTTAGTATGCTCCGTTCTCGTAATTAAGGGGTTTAGTACTATTCTGAAAACAGTGTTTTGTTTACTTGAGTCTTTTGTGGTGCGGATACTGTCAATCTAGTCTAGTGTAGCCCTGTTACTTAGTGAAATAAATATCACTAATAACTTTTAGTCTTTACTTATTAGGGCGATGTTGGGAGTAGCATTGAAAGCTAGGAAGGAGGCAAATGTCGAAATTTATGAGTATTCTGGGTGCCCGAGTTTGACTAAAGAACAATCGCTATTTTCGCGAAAAGATGGTTTTTGGCGCAGTTCTTCGCTAGTGTTGCTTGTTCTATAGAGCGCTAGCCTTATGTCGCTCCCGAAAATTCCTTACGGTGCCTGTTTTGCTTTTGAAATCCTTATCAAAAACTATGTAATACATTTCTTTTTAAGGCTGCAATCCAGTCTCAAAAGGCTTAAAATAATAGCACATCAAGAATACGGCACGTTAAGGGGTATACAGAACTTGAACAGCAATGGGAACTCTTCTAGCGCTAATAACAATATTGTTTAGGCAATACCCCTCATGATGAAGCATCGTGATATTTTGGCGAGTGCCCCACAGGTGCGCTTTCATTTTCATTTCGCTTTGTGTAGCTAAGCTGCATTGTCTTAGGAAAAATTGATAATCGAACTTGGTTAAAAGTAGTAACAATTTGCATTATTTAGGATCCGGGAAAACCCTGGCGTTTGCTATTCCTGTAATTATGGATGTATTGAAATTAAAAAAGCTGAGTAAGTACAAGGATGGCACGAAGTTATTGGCAGTGGTCCTTGAACCAACCAGAGAATTAGCATCACAGGTAAGTTTTTAATAAGAGTAGCTAATTAATGCGTAGCGGCATTTCTGATGAAACGTTCCTGTAGACATATCGTCAGTTCCTCAAGTTCGGCCAGGGGCTCCCAATTAAAGCCGCTCTATTTGAAAATGAGGAAGTTCCACAGAATGGTTAGTTGTGGTTTTTGCCGTCTTCGATCTTTTCTTGTTGCTATATGTATCCTTTTGATAGTTGATGTGCTTGTTTCTACTCCGAATCGTCTCGCCCACCATTTGCAAGACATGCAGCTCAAGTTTTTGAGGTAAGTACTGCATATAGGGGAATATTCGAACACATATTATTTATCCTTCAAGGTGGCTGATTGTCGATGAAAGCGACCGCTTGTTCGAGGTTGTTGAAGGTCAAGAGCGATGTTTCAGGAACCAGGTGAGTAATAAGTAATTCTTTATTGTTGAATCGTCGGAATTTTTTATCTTTTATAATTTTTTTTGTTGACGTTTCAAGTGAGCTCTTGTGAATTTTTCGAGGCAAAAAGCGGCAGAACTTCGACGAGCTTAATTTCTTTGTTTGATAGGCTCTTGGCAGCCAGTGTATTTAAAAATTATTGGCACAAATATTTTAGATTTTCCATGGTCCAAAATCTTAGGCGGTGTTCAAAAGGGTTCAAAAAGGTTCATAAGGGAATTTGCAGTGTCTCAGTCTTTCTTTAGAACTAAGAATGTCCTAGTGTGCTTGAGGATGAAGAGGAGGAGTGAAGATTTGGGAAAAATTCCAAACTCTTCCATTTTCCTCATCATTCTGAAATTGCTGTCTTCAATGGAAACATCTATGATGGTAGAGATGAAAAAAAAATTGACGCAGCTTAATATGCTACCTTTTTAAGCTCGCCAGCGTGTACAAGGCTTGCGATGGGAAATTCACTCGGAGAGCGTTTTTCAGTGCTACGTTTTCTTATGAGGTGGAAGAGTGGTGAGTTTGCTGTTTGAAACGCTGCTTTCTTCTAAATATTTGGAGCGATGTTTTCCTTCTGAAATCAGTTTGAACTAGATGTGTTGGCTTCAGGTGTAAAGAGAATTTGAACAATGTTGCAATGGTCTGCATTGGTGAAAGGTATGTTGTTAATGTGGTTTTAGAAAAAACTGAAACATCTTTGAAGTTGTAGAAACTCAGCAAATGCTAATGTGACGCAAGAGCTGGTGTTTGCTGGTTCGGAACAAGGAAAACTTCTTGCCATTCGGACGCTTCTTCAGACGCAGTTTGAGCCACCGGCTCGCTATTTTTGTGCAGGCACGTAAATGTAGTTTGTTTGCTTTTATGTAAAAGTTTCTTCGCTGTTTCAGAGCAAAGAGCGGGCGCGTGAGCTTCTGTCTGCGTTGTCCTCAATAACGCCCCCAATTCCTGTGGCTCTCATCAGCAGTGAGAAGTCTCAGAGTGAGGTGTGTTCATGAATGATTTCAAAAGTAGTAATAAGGCCATTATACCTAAAGCAGCTTTCATTGTTTGCGCCGTAATGGAATGCGGTAAATACGCTTCCAGGAGATCCTTATTGATTCAACGGGTCTCGTGACTATGACTCGGCACCATCACGAATGGAAAGCAGGGAATGGGCGGAATATGCAGAATAAGCGAACCGATACCTATCTATTTAAACTTGGTGGCACACTTTATGCTCTTCACACATTCCACATCAGTGCGAGCATAGGTTGATATTTGTGCTGCGAAGAACTACTCAAGGCGAAGGTTAGCAAGTGCTACGCTGGAATAGAATCTCTGAATTCGGCGCTCGGATTGACTTCAAAAATGCGAAACGATTAAGACTGATTGTTGCAAGCAACAGCGAGTAGACATTCTTAATTTTTCAGAGAGATCATGCCATCGAATCTTTCCGATCAGGACGGTTGTGGGTGCTGATTTGTACGGAATTGATGGGCCGCGGTTTAGATCTTCGCAACGTAAACCTCGTGATTAACTTTGACCTACCAACCTCAATTGTTAGTTATATTCATCGAATAGGTGAGTCTGTTTGTGCACCGTGACCATAGTCGTTTGTAGTTTGAAAAACATTTTCTCGTTTGTATTGTCCTTACGCCTTGTTTTCGGCACTCCACCCAGTTTCATGTTCCTTTTCAGGTCGTACTGGGCGTTCTTGTCGTCGAGGGCGTGCCATAACATATTTTACCGAGTCAGACACAAAGTACTTGAGATCAATTGCTACTGTCATTCATCACGCAGGATTTGAGTTCCGGAGTACACGTTGAGTTTAAAACCTTTGAGCAGGTAGGAATTTTCACGCCAACAGATCCTATTTCACAGGTTAATTTCCCATGTTTCAGAAATGAGAAGAAGCAACTCGTACGCCATGCGCCGAAACGGAAACACATAGCGTTTGTGAAAAAGAAGAAGAAGAAGGCTCCTCCAAATAGAAAATAGTAGCAAAGAGTCCGATGAACCAGTCGAGAAGAAGGCAAAGGTTGAAAAAGCTGCTGTGAAATCTAATGCTGACAATAGCTTTCATTGGTGAAGATTGAGGAAAAAGAAAAGAAGAAGAAAAGATAGAAAAGCGATGAAAATTCGCAGTGGCGTTTAATGTCAAGAAACTGGTGGCCTTTCTGAAAACCATTCAAGAAAATGAATAAGGCTTGAAAAAGAGTAAAGGGAAAATGTCCCAGAAATGATAAATAATAAATGAAGTATAATGGAATGAATGAAATGAGAATACCAAACGAATGTCTACTAGATTGTTATTGAATTCAGAAATCTGAGCGCATACATGATTCACTTACAGATTAAATTTCTATAGATTTAATGTTCAATGGATTTACGTGGTTGGCATCTCAAATAGTTTGTTATTTTGTTGTTATTTGTTACTTGTTGGAATAAATAGTTATGAACGTTCTAGACTACCAGAATAACTAGTAAGGTATGGCTGAAGAATGATGGAGAAGAATTCATGGTGCAAATGGCAGTCACCGATTGATTGGTTGGCTTCCTCTGCTTCAATGCGTATTCTTTTGACCGATGCATGGTTTGCTGTTCTAAGGAGTGAAGATCTGTTAAACGTGAATTGTCTCCGGTTGGAAGCAGGGTGTTACAGTACCCCTGATCTGGAAATGGATTCACTGTTCTAAATATTTAGTACTGATAGTAGGTCTCAAATCCCTCACCTGACAAAATAATCGATTTCTTGACGTCCGAGTTTCACGAGAAGAGCTGAAGGGTTCTTTGCTATACGAAGTTATTACGCAAGGACACACTCCATACCTTACTTGTGATTCAAAAGACTCAGTCCACTCTTCTGAATGGAAGTCCTGCGTATGACTTAATCCGATGAGTTTCGGTACGGTACAAGGTCTACCCGCTTCTATGAACAACGGTCACAATACAGCTTTTTCAAGATGAAGACAGCAATCGGAAACAAATACGCTGCATATCTTCGATCGCAGTAGTGTAATATCCCTACTATATAATATAAATATTGTTAAGAGGAAATACCAGAAAGGAATTCGTGAATATTGTTACCTTAAGGATAGAAATCGCAGAATTTCCAGCAGGGAACAACTTTTCCTAATTGGCATTTTGAGTATGAGAGAATATGAGAATCTTTATTCGTAGTGATGCTAGTACTAACTAGGAAAAACAGTTGGGTTTGAGTAAAAAAAACAAATTTTCAGAAAAGTTTAATTAATGAAGAGTATGGAATTCGACTTCCGTTCCACACGCACCCACAGGCGGAATCCAAACTAATGAATACCCTCCCTCCTTCTTCCAGTAAGGAAGGGATTAGAAGCGTGAATACATCCTACTTACTATAAAGCGCTTCGTCTGTCGTTCTGTCTGTCGTTCTGTCCCTCTGTCGTTCTGTATGTCTGTCACGAAATTCCCTAGCTCCTCGGGATCCGCCTGGAGGGACCGGGTCAAGTGTGGGACGGGTGGGCAAGGTCTCACGAAGTACAAAACACACATCAGCTAAGCGGAGCCCCGCCCACAGTGGGCGTGGCGTGCGTCGACATGAAGTGTACTGACGACCGAGATTTTAAGATCTCTTAGAAAACGACCTTGAAACTGGGCCAAAAAGTGGGTAAAGGTGTGCATTGGTAAGTCACATCGAATTAGGGAGACCCACCCCCGGTGGGCGGGGCGTTCTCCAAAAAAGCAGTGCTTTATGAAAAATTTCATAACTCGGTTGGGAGAAAGCCTACAGAGCAGAAAACAATTGGTGTAAGGGAGCAATGTCTAAGGTGTTTCCCGCATACATGACGTGGGCGGAGGCCTGCCCAGAATGGGCGGGGCGCGCTCTGAAGTGTACAGCATTTTCTACAAGCCCTCATAATTCGGGTCGGGGAAGTCCTAAAGAGCCGGAAAAAGGTGGATAGAGGTGTATGGAGGAGTGGAGGCCAGCTGTCAATGGTGGGCGGGGCTTGACCAAAGTGGGCGGAGTTTGCGACGAAAATTCATAACTCGGCTCCATGAAGCTCCGGAGGCTGGGGAAAAGGTGGATAGAGGTGGGTGGAGGAGTGGAGGTTAATTGTCATTGGTGGGCGGGGCCTGACCAAAGTGGGCGGAGTTTGCGACGAAAATTTATAACTCGGCTCCATGAAGCTCCGGAGGCTGGGGAAAAGGTGGATAGAGGTGGGTGGAGGAGTGGAGGTTAATTGTCATTGGTGGGCGGGGCCTGACCAAAGTGGGCGGAGTTTGCGACGAAAATTTATAACTCGGCTCCATGAAGCTCCGGAGGCTGGGGAAAAGGTGGATAGAGGTGGGTGGAGGAGTGGAGGTTAATTGTCATTGGTGGGCGGGGCCTGACCAAAGTGGGCGGAGTTTGCGACGAAAATTCATAACTTCGGCTCCAAGAAGTCCCTGGAGGCCGCGGAAAAGGTGGATGGAGGTGGGTGGAGGAGGGAGGCCAGCTGTCAATGGTGGGAGGGACATGACCAAAGTGGGCGGAGTTTGCGACGAAAATTCATAACTCGGCTCCCAAGAAGTCCAGGAGGCTGGGAAAAAGGGAGTAGAGGTCGGCGAAGGAAAGGAGGTCAAATGCTATTAGTGGGTAGAGCACGCACCCAAGTGGGCGGAGTTTGCCAAAAGTATCGCAATTCGGTTGCAAGAGGTCCTAGAGATAGGGGAAAACGGGGTTAGAGGTTGGTGAGGGAAAAGAGCTCAACTGCTATCACTGGGTAGAGCACGCACCTAAGTGGGCGGAGTTTGCCAAAAGTGTCGTAATTTGGTTCCAAGAGGTCCCAGAGACCGGTGAAAAAGGGGGTAGAGGTCGGCGAAAAGAAGGGAGCCAAATGCTATTGGTCGGCAGGGCACGCACCGAAGTAGACGGAGTTCGCCACGAGATTTATTGTCCGGGCCGAGGACCGAGAAAAATAGGATAATGGTTGACGAAGAAAGAGCGCATAGAATTTAGCGGAGAATTCAGATATTCGTATTGTATCAAGCCAAATTTGAAATTTTTCGTCGCACCATCAAAATTCGCCACAGATCTGTGTTGCGCGCGCAATGCGTGCGGCGCCAACTGGTAAATATAATAATAACTTTAAAAATTCGAATTTATTATATGTCACACTAAGTATCCCGTTAACAATTACTAAAGACTTAATAATTGTTGATCGTAAAAAAAAAACGCAAAAAGGGGATTAGAGGTCAATATTTTTTTTTTTTTCTACAACAGGTCTTCGTTACTGTTACAATAATATTTGTTAAATTATAAATATTAGATCGTGACCGATCTTTTTTGGATGCGCCACACAC